TTAGGGGGTGTATACTTGTATGAAAGCTCTGTTGTTTTCACAAATTGCATAAGCTCGGTACATGAAACAAAAGATATTATTGAAAAACATAAATGAAGGTTTTTTTTTGAATGGTTTCACTCTCTTTTTGTACACTGTTACGTATCGAGTTTCCAGTGGGGCTGCATGCGTGCAAGTTCAACTTCGTTGTGCGCTGCTGAGCCCCCGGGTTTCTTGGCCGTTTCTGCTTGTTCTAGGATAAAAATTTCAGTATAGTATTTCTTTTCGTTTATATTTTGAGCAGAAGATTCATATTCCCAGGTTTCTAGCATTTTTTTGCTGCAATTTACCCTCAAGTTCCTCGGAAGGCATCGTTGTAGGCTGTCGCCGATATCGTAGCAACGAGCAGTTCTCTCGCTGCCAGCTTGTGTTTTTCTGAATATATTTATTTATTTTCTTCTTTCCACTTTTTTTTACCTTTTTTATCAAGATGTTGTTCCCAGGAATGATGCGGGAGGCTCCTCAGGAGTACATCTCCCCCAAGTGGCGTGCTGCTCTACGCATCGTCGGTTTCATTGCAAGTTGTATTCTCATTGCCAAGTACGGAGAGCTCGCTGATATGCCAGAAAACAGCAAACTCGGGTGAGTATACTTCAGGGGGAACGCATGCATGCCCACAGCAGAAGCAACAGCTGCAGCAGCAGCACCAGTTGCTGCAGAAGCAGCAGCTGGTGCTGCTGTTGTTTACCGAGCAGCAGTAGTAACAGCAGCAACAGAAGCAGCAGGGGCAGCAGAAAATAAGAGAACTGCGTGGGACAAAACCGCTATGGAAGACTGAATTTCCTATTTCAAGGAAGCAGCAGCAACTGCCGCAGCAGCAACTGCAGCAGCAGCAACTGCAGCAGCAGCAACTGCAGCTGCAGCAACTGCAGCTGCAGTGAGCTGCTGCTGCTGCAGCGTTGGATCAGCAGCATCCGTGATCGTTCAGACAGCAGCAAAGAGTGCAGCAGCCCAAAACTACGTATAATACTATAAGCAGTGCTCGCGCAGTGCTGGAGAAGCAGCAGCAGTTGCTTCTCCTGCAGCAGCAGCAGCTGCTGCTGCTGCAGCCACAAGCCACCGCTGCATGGCGATGCTGATCCTGCTGCAGCACCTCGCTGAAGTAGCGGCAGCATCGCCTCCCAGCGCAGCAGTGAGACGCTGCTGCTGCTGCTGCTGCTGCTGCAGTGAGATGCTGCAGCAGCTGCTGCAGTGAGGTATTGCTGCTGCTGCTGCTGCAGTGCGATGCTGCAGCAGCAGCTGCAGCTACGTGCTGCTGCGACAGTGCGTGCCTCTTTGGTCTGAATCGTTTAAAAAAATTGAAAACGTTTAACTTAGTTAATTTACAAAAGTAAAAAAAAATGAAACAAAATAAATACGCCCTCTGCCA